TCTTTAACTAGCAACCTGCGGCTCTTTGGATAATTATCAATATATCGATATCCGTAAAATATAAATTATATTATACTAAATAATATTATATTTGTATAAACAATAATAATAATATAAATATAAATAATAATGRAWTRMYGAAATAAAGTTTTCCATATTTTCTAAATTTAAGACGTATTATTATGTTTTTATTGCCTACTAAAAAAAGGTTGTTCAAACCTGCAGAGTGGCTCCTGGATATCATAGTTTTGTATTTTTTTTGAAAAAATGGCTCTTTCCTACGAAAAGGTTCCCGACCCCTGTTTTAAGTCATCAATAGTATATGAAATTTATTCAGAATACTCAACATTGTCTTTGTTCTTCTTTTTTTGTTTGTTTGTTTACGATTAGTCTGACTAATAGTTGACTAATTTAGTCAACTATTAATGTAAAGTATATATAATAACAAAAATGTATTATTGCATTCAACTGTCACAGCTGCCGGACTAGTGGCGTGGCGAACTCGAATATTTTCAGAGGCAAGTATATTTTGCGGCTGGTACCGAATTCCGTCCCGGGCCCCCTATGGTTCCATAACTGAAGACCGAATTCCGTCCCGGGGGCGGAGCAACTATGTCCGAATTCCGTCCCGGGGGTGGATAAACTATGTCCGAATTCCGTCCCGACTAGTGTTTTAGACGGTATTAATATAAGTTCAATTTTTATAGAACTTCAAGAGGCTTCGCCTGACATTAAGCGTAGGTATCGTTTTTTTGTACTATCGCAATTATTTGCAATAAAAACGTAATGTGTAATGTAATAGTGTAATCTGTATTTATGTGTACGTTGTGTATACCTACCTAATGCAAAAGAATAATGTAATTTTCATATCGTATTTTATATTTTTCATATCTTTATCGCCTAATCGGCATTTTAAAAATAGYTTAATAGTAGATATTCCGCATTACGAAATCGTATTAAATCGTTTTAATATCGAAACTATATATGAAGAGGCGTCAGTTATTCGTCAGAAATTCACGAGAGTGCATCGATTGTTATTTTATCGTTATTTTTTACGTTTTTGTTCGTCCGTTCTTTTATTTATTGCAGTATGGCTGGTATTGCATACGAAACAGTGGTAGGTGAGAAAGGCAAACCTATAATAATCGTTGAAGGCACGGAATTCCGTCGACAGAAACAGTTAGCAAATAATGTAGTTAGGTGGACATGCAGTACTCATAAAACATGTGTTTTTTTAAAAATTGACGAAAATGGCACGTGTTTAAGCGATTGTTTATTGATCYATAACCATAAAAAAGATAATATTCAAAAATTAGATCGACAAAAAATAAGCAATTCAATAAAACGAAAAGCCATTGATGATCCCTCTGTTCGACCCTCAAAACTTCTGCAGACTGAGTTGCAAAAATCTGGTTCTCTTAACCTCACAATACAGGATGTTACATTGATAATAAAAAACGTTGGATACACTAGACTTGCCCATTTACCAAAACTACCGAAAACTTTTTCAGAATTTCATAATGCACTGAACGATATGACATTACAGACAAACGAGAATGAGACGTTTTTACTTCATAACGATTCCGATAATAATATTGTCTGTTTTTCAACCGATACAAATATAAAAAAATTGACCGAATGATCAAAAGTCACGGCTGATGGAACATTTTCACACCTATATCATAGTTACAGGTAGTAGGACGGAATTCGGACATAGTTTATCCACCCCCGGGACGGAATTCGGACATAGTTGCTCCGCCCCCGGGACGGAATTCGGTCATTTTCAGCAACCCGGGACGGAATTCGGCAATTGCCTATTTTGCGATACCCACCCAGGGACGATCTCAGAAAAAGATCAYGGGGGAGTGTATAGTCTTCAAAATTGCCGACTATAATTGGAAATTCCAAATTTTTGTTAACTATTAAATTACTATTAGTTACATTTATAATTTCTTTATTACCTTATGTTTCGATTAAATTTTAAGTTAAAGCTTAGAATATCTTACTAATTATTTTGAATTTGTATCAGAATAGAATAAAGTACAACAAACATAATATGAAAAAGTTTATTTATTATAATTCCTCACATTTTAATTATTATAGAATCGTTATAAAATGAGTTACAGTACTTAAAACTATTATAATAACTAATAAGTTCCTCAGTTAATTTTTTTGTACACGCGAAAAAATATGTTTAATATAAGTTTTATCTTTTCTTCACAATTGAACCCTGCGATGCTTCAGCGTTGCCCATTTGTGTACAAGATTATCAATGTCTAAACTATCTGTTACGTMTTTTTCACAATTCAACATAATCAGTGCGTTTAATCGCTGATCGTCCATTTTGGACCTTAAATAGTTTTTTATTAATTTTAATTTGCTGAACATTCTTTCGTCAGATGCAGTAGTAACAGGAGCAGTTGATGCTAAACGACAAATTCGATTAGCCCACGGAAGAATTGATTTTGATAACTCAGCTTTTTCAAAAATGTTAGTTAAATTTTTTCCGTCACATTGATTTAACAAAATTTCAATTTCTGCATGTATTGCATCAATATCGTGAATTTTCGCACTTTTTGTCATTTCGGGAAATAATTTTACAGCACCTGCAATATTTTCTAATGAACAAGTATTTTTGTCAAATGGCATTTTAAAAATATTAAATAAAGGCTTGAGTATTTCAATTGTAATTTTTAAATGTTCAGTTGTTAAGTTTATCAGTGTATCTAGTACTTGTTTAAATTCTTTCCGATAAAATAATTTTAATGAGAATTCTGATTGAGTCATTGGATTAGAATCCACTCTTTTTGGTATCGACCGTTTACGATGATGTTTGTTAAAATTTGCTACTGGATCTAAATCTATTTTTTTTGAAAATGTAAGAGCTGCATTGATAATGGAGTCCAGTCCATCCGAATCGTTATTTATGTTTTCAAGCGATTTAATTGTACCCTCTATTAAATTACTTGCATCAATTATATTCAATTCTTTGGCTTCCAATTGCTCTGTGAGCGCTTTGAGTTTATATAACACATTTTTCATAAACATTATTGAAACAATAAAATCAAATGTTGTTATTTTTTTATACAGAGCAAATGATTGGCTTTTAGTATTTCTATCGACAAATTTGAAGAGGAGATTTCTTGCAAAGTTTCAAGAATTATTTCAAACGATGTCCAAACTGCTTTAACCGATTCTGCACGAGTCGTCCACCGCGTTTTTGATAAATTACACAGCTGCAAACTACCTTCAATTTCAGATAATTTCTAACTAAGGATTCCATACCGCTTTGTACTAGCATTAAAAAAAAACATATAGACTCTCTAGGTTACCAATTAAGTTTAGTATTATGACACTAGCATTGCAGCCATGTTCTAAAAAGGTATTAATACGGTGCGCTTGACATGGGATATAAGGTATATGGTGATTGGCCAGTCTTGAAAGTTCTTTTTGCGTACCATGGAATTGGCCAGACATGCTTGAGGCAAAATCATAAGACTGAAAAGCGATGAAGTCTGGATTTAATTCGTTTCTTACTAAGGTATCGTAAATATTCTTAGCAATCCCAAATTCAGTTTTATCCGTACATTCATTAATTTCAAGAAGTCTCTCTTTTACTTTCCCATTATTATCAACGTAACGTACACATAACGCCAATCTATCTTGATGGGTAATATCAGGAGTCGTGTCTGCCAGAACTGAATAAATTTCCGCATTTTTTACCTCTTCGATTACTCGATTTCTAGTTTCTGAAAATAGAAGTTCTATGAATTCATTTTGAGATCTAGAACCGAGATAGGTCACATGATATGGTCTCATAGATTTATTATCCAACCATCTTTTCATAATTCCACAATGTCTGGAAATTAATTCTATGATTTGAATGAAATTCCCATTTTTATCATCACCATCTCCTCTAAATGCCAACCCTTGCCGAGCTAACGTACGAGCTGTTTCCATAAGAATTTTAATAACTTGATTATTATACTCGCGCTCATGCTGAATTTGAATTGACTTTTCTCGATTTGCTTGATCAAATAAAACATCAATATGACAAGATGTCTTCATAAAATTACAGTAGTCTCTTAATGCAGCTTTATGAGCTAAACAAGAGAAATGCTCGGAAAGTTTCCCTGGTTTATTTTTACCCCTACTTTTCATTTTGTGCCAAACCCTAACGCCTTCAGTGACCCAAGCATTATCAGAAAATTCTCGATCCGGACCATTTGGAAATAAAAAGCATACAAAGCAATAAGCCGAGTCTTTTTCAACACTATATTCCAACAAAGGAAACTCAATATACCAACGTGAAGAAAATTGCCGTTGTTTGTTCGTACTGATACTTTCGTTTCTGGGATATGATGTAAGTTTAGGCTGATGAGGTCCTAATGAAATTAAATAATGTCTCTGTGAACTAGTTACAGTTTTTTCTCGTTTACCTGGATCATGATCGATTAAGCCATTGTATTCGGTTTGATCATATAAAATATCAGTCGCATTATTGCTGGTAGTTTGTGTTAAAATATCTGATGCATGTTTAAAAAAAATGTCAGCTATGTTTTGAATAGTTTTTACTTTCTGAACGCCATTAATTAAAAATAAAACTGGGTTGGGAAATGTTTCAGTTTTAATTTTATCCAAAAGAAAATCGCATTCCTTCATTTCATTAATAAGTAATTTCAACTGACCTGCACAAGTTAACCAAGTTATTATTTCTTCTTCATCAATTTTTTCAGAATTTTGCATAGTTTCTACAATATCAACTTTTACGGGTAATTTTGTATCAATATGAGTTTCACCTTTTTCAATAATACGACAGTCCAAAGATTTTTCAGTCGAAACCGAATTTTCAGATAGATGTKGCGTGCCCACTAAGTTGCATATTGTTGCTAAATCATTGTCTACATTATAAGAATCGTCTGCATCTTCTATCATAACCTATATATACGATAAATAATATTAATTGTTGTATTTGCATACAACTGAAGTACCTAACTATTCACCAATGGTTTTGATCTAATTATTAAAAAATGTTATTATATTTAATAACGCATATTATTAGATTCTGAGTTAAACGAGAAATGCCGAATGTAGTTTGGTTTAATAGGTTTTACCACGATATGATTTTTTTTCAATTATTTAAGACAGCGGTTCCCAAACTTTTTTTTCCGCGGTGCCCTTTTAGGGGCACCAAGTTAGCCACGGTGCCCTGCTGTATATAACATGAAAGATAGAACAAAAAAAGTACTCATTGAGAACCAATTTTATTAATTTTATCAAACCTAATACAATCTAAGCATTCTAAGCTACACAGCTAGTTTAATTATAAATTAATGCATTTTTAAAAAGATAAATAAATAAAAATTATTGTTATTATAATAAAGGTACAATCAGTCAACAATCAAAAATTATTTGTAATAATTTATTATCCATAAAATCATATCTAGTAATAATATTATACTGATAAATACCAAACCCAGTAATTGGGCATATGGTTTTTATATACATTTTAAACTTATGAAACGTAGACTGCGGTGCCCCCAGAAAGTGTTCGCGGTGCCCCTAGGGCACCGCGGTGCACAGTTTGGGAACCGCTGATTTAAGGCTTTATACATACAAATGAGAAATTAATGTGTTATTATGTATAAAATATAATAAAACTAAATATAAATTTTTAATATACCTAGACCTAGATACTAGTAAGTAAACAGCAGTAGCGGCTCGCGAGCTTTAATATTTCAATTTTTTCTACAGGAGGGCGGCCCCCCTGCCCTGACGCCCTTACACACGAGCCGCCAGCCACTAATAAATAGGGCTTGTAAGTTCATGCACTAAAATAGCCTCGATTATAACAGACT